TCTCTCTCACTCTGTCCCTCTCTGGTCAAATTAAAATAAATAAAGTAAATAAGTTAAATATAATAATTTTAAAAATCAAAAGCCTACTCTTTTAGGAAAGTTATTTCACCTCGCTAAAGCTCAGTCTCCTTGTCTGTAAAACAGGTTAGAAATGGTAGCTAGCTTATGGGATCCTTATGAGGGTTAAAGGAAATGATCATGTCAAATTGTCTAGTAGAGGCCCTGGCACATAACGTATAGTCGATAAATGTTAGCAACAGTAACCAGTAATACCACTCTTCTCTAAATCGCTCCTGACCAGAATAATATTTGGGTACAAAATCCCCTAAGCACAGTCAGAAAAAGTACCAATTTTAGTATCTGGTCTTTGTCATTGTTTTGCCAGTCTGGCTATGATGTGCCTAGGAGCGGATCTTCTTGTTTTGATTCTATTTGGGGTCCTATGTATTTCTTGGGTCTGGATATTTGAATGCCTTTCTATATTTGGAAAGTTTTCTTCCAGGATTTCATGGAATAAATTATCTAGGCCCTTATTATTTTTTTTCCTCTTCTGGGATACCAATTATCCAGATGTTAGGGCGCTTGATGGTATCCAGTACTCCTCGTATATTATCCTCATTTTTCATGGTTGTTTTCTCAATCTTCTTGATACTTTTTTCTAGGTCAGATGTTTTGTCTTGTACATTAGATTCAATCTTCTGCCTGATCTAATCTACTTTTAATAATTTCAAGAGAGGTTCTGATTTCCTGTATCACATTCTTTAACCCTAGAAGTTCCATCTGGTTCTTGTTTAAGGTATCTATTTCTTCTTTCAAATCATGATAGGACTTCCTCATCTCCTGGAGCTCCTTGTCTCTTATCCATCTCAGTTAGTTTGGTCATGACAAATTATTTTGAATTCCTTATCAGACATGTCCACAACGTCCATTGTATTGACTGTGGGTGATGTAGGCTTGATGATTTCCTTTGGGGGAGAGGCCTTTTGTTGGTTGCTCATACTTCTTGAGCCTCTGCAATTGTTCCTAGTCATCAGGTGATCTATATGTTGCTTCCTAACTTATTGAAGGTATCTCTGAGTGTTAAGAGGTGTACAGGATTAGAAAATTGATGATTTTTCTTATGGTGGACCTACTTGTTGCTCACCAGTGCCATGTACTGTTGTCACTGGTCCTGGGTGACCCAAAGTCTTCCCTGGTTCTAAGGAGTGGTGAACCGCCAACTGACCTAATAAGCAACACCTCAAGAGCAAAGAAAAGCAAAACAAATAAAAATAGTGTGGCGCATGTTGCAGGCTGTGCACTATTTAAAACACTAAAATTCAGAGAGTCCAAAGGCACGTTGGGAAGGGACCAGAGGATGCGCGTAGGTCCCGGGTGGAAGGGCCTGCAGACACAGGCAGCCTGGTGTCCGGAACTCCTGGCTGGCTCAATCTGGTTTGCAGATGGGGTCGGGAGGTGCGAGTTCATCAAGTCCTAGGGAACCAACCTGAAGTCTAGAGAGGAGGGGTGCAGATGCCCAAAGATCCCGGGCGGAAGGACCTGCTGGGAGGCAATAATTATTGAAGAGAGCAGGGTCCCTGACTAGGCAGAAGGAAGTCTGGGGGATTTGAGGGAAGACAGTTGAGAAAAGATTTGATGCAGCTATGGAGAGGGAATGGAGAGAAAGCTTAAGGACACAGGATTGCCAAAGTATGTGACCCCGGAGACTGAAACTGTGTAGAGGAACCAAAATATGTTATTTGCAGCTTTTTTTTTAGGAGAATGTTCAGAGCAGGTGTTGGAGCAGAAGAGATAAATTGCTGTGTATGGCCGGATGATCTTTGCCAGAAAATGTAGATTTTAAGTTTTACTTCTTGTTTTTAGTTTGCTGTAGGGCACATGTGCTATCTGGAGAGAGATGTAGAGAAAGGACAGTGAGGAAAAGTCCATGGAAATGGCCATGTCACAATATCTTCTCCATTCTCTCTGGGTTTTGGGTATGCACATAAATGTACCTAGCATGTTTTCTAGTCCCCAGGTTTGGGACTCAGACCACTCACTCAGCCACATGGGATCCAGCTGCCTTAATCTCCATGCCACCTTCTGGAGATTAAAACCACTTTTATTTTTTAAAAAATTAGGTCACTGGGAAGTCATGACAAATTTTTCTGTGTTTTTCTATGTAAAAATGAGTCATGACTTTCCTGATAACCCAATAATATCAATATATTTATTTAATTTTTTAAAGAATTATTTTATTAAATTTTATTTGTTGTTATTACTTTTTAATTTGAAGAGAGAGAGAGAAAGAAAGAAAATGAGAAAGTAAGCCACCAGATCTGGGGGGTGGGGATGGGGAGAGAGAGAAAGAGGATGTGAGAAAGCGAGCCACCAGATCCGGAAATCAAACTACATAGGCCATATGGGAGTCTAGCACCTTAACCACAGTGGCATACCGCAGTCTTTTTTCCTCCCAGGGTTTTGGGTACGCACACACATGCACCCAGCGTGAGTTTTAAGCCACTGTGTCCAGGCTTGAACCATGGTTGACTATGTGGGATGGTCCAGTGACAACCATTACACCATCTACTGGTCCTGTAATAATCTATTTATTATAGCAAAAAAAAACCCCAAAAACCCCAAAAAACCAAAAACCAAAAAACCAACCAACAAACAAAAAAACCTTGAATACCAGAAGACAAGGAAAAATTGCTTTAAGCAAACCTTCTATATGAAACACCATGGGACCAGCAGTTAGCGTAATGTCTATGTTGCTAGACTCCCATGTAGTCGACTGCGATTCAAGTCCTGGACCCAGTGGCTTAAACTCACGCTGGGTGCGTGTGTGTGTGTGTACCCAAGATCCCGAGAGGAGAATGGAGGAGAAGGGATTGTGGCGTGGCCATCTCCCCTGGGGAGTGATTTCTCGCTTTCTGTCTCTCTGTCGCTTTCTGTTTTTCTGGCGAGCGCACATGCCCTGAAGTGGAAACCTCTCAAAAAAAAAAAAAAAGAAAGAAAAGAAAAGAAAAGAGAAAAAGAAACTCCATGAAATTTTGGATATTTTCTAGTCTTCTTTCTGAACATAATGAAAACAAAAATGAGGTAGAAAAGGATATCATTATGTTATTTATTGCATTTTCTCATTTTTTTCCTCTTAGATTTACATGCATCATGAAATATATATACTTCAATTTTTTTTTACACTATCATTTATTGATGACTTATTCTCCACCAAATATTGTGTTAAGCCAGTGGGTCTGGAAACCCATGAAGTTATTTCTAAACTAAGACATTATTTGTCTTTTTTGTTTTTATTCTTTCATGTATATACATGTTTTTCAGAGGCTGTCTGTGTGAGGACTTCATCTTTCTGAAGCTGAAAGAATGTACGCTTATATATTCTCATGCTTTAAAGGTTTCTTAGTTTAATTTCTAAAATGCCAAATATATACATGTTGTATGTATATATATGATACATTCATAAAAGCTCTTTGGAACACTCCATTTTAAATAGTGTAAAAAGGTCTTGATACTAACAAGATTAAAGCCATAGAACTGGGCTGTTCATTTCCTTGTGTTACCACATCTGGTCCTCATTTGGCCTGTAAGTTGGTTGTTGGTATTGCTTGTGTGTGTGTGTGTGTGTGTGTGTGTGTGTGTGTGTGTGTGTGTAGAGACGACAGTCTGAAAGAGATGGAGCCAGGGTCCAACCCAAGTTCATATATCTAGAGCCTCTTCTGTTAACTTTGCTCTCAACCATGTTCTAATTCTTAGATATAGAAGATGTCTCCTATTTTCATTATCTTATTCTATTGATAATTTCTGTTTGTTTCTTTTTAAGAGAGATTTTTGCGTGTGTGCTCACCAGAGAGACAGACTTAAAGGGAGGAAACCTCCCCTTGGGACAGCGGGGAATGGCCATGCCACAGTTCCTTCTCCTCCATTCTCCTCTTGGGATCTTGGGCACACACATGCGTGTGCTCAGTCAGTGTGAGTTTTTAAAAAGCCATGACGTGAACTGTGGTCGACTACATGGGAGTTCAGTTATGTAACCATTACACCATCTACTGGTCCCTATTGATAATTTCTGATTAAACAGCTTTTCATATATTGAGGATCAGCTATATAATTAGTAAGCCAAATGGAATACTATTTCAAAGCTTTTTATATATGTGAATTGTATTTTTATTCTCAAGATGTAAAAATTAATATTTAACATTTTCATTGTGATCAATATTCATAAAATTGTAGGTGAATTCTTAGCCCTTTGTTTTTTTCTAGTAATGACATCTCTTCCAAAATTCCAATCAGTCTACATTTATCTTGCTTTCCACATGATGTTTTCAAGGGCTGAAATGTTAATTGAGCAATAACATCATTTTTTCTAGTAAATTTTAGGGATCAGCTGTGATAATAGTGTTGCAACTGCTTGAGTCATAGCCAAAAAACTCAGCACTTTGGTTGTGCCTGTTCTCAGCTGCACTGCTCTGTGTTCTAGGGGGCATCTTGAGTGAGAAAGGTAGAGACTGCACCATCCACAACCTACTTCTTGTCCTGAGGGCTTTGTAATGTTTTAAGTTTGTGAAAAATAAAAAGAACATCAAGTTTGTGTTCTTTAGTTCCACAGCATTTCCAGTGTCTTTTGAAGCTTTGGTGATGTCTCACTATCTATCTTGTTCCTTGATTTTGAAATACGATTATTCATATGTTGCTTAGAGTTAAGTTTCATAAAATCTCATTTGTAAACAAGAGTTAGCTTAGTTATGTAACTTGTTTTTCTTGTACCAGATTCAGAAACACGAGTTGACCTGAAATTTATGTACCCAGATCCTCCAAGAGATCATCACACCTTAGAGATTCAGCAGCAGGCCCTGCTAAGAGAGCAGCAGAAGAAGCTGAATAGAATGAAAATGCAGGAAGGTGCCAAAGGTATGGGAAATAAATCCGTTACTATTTAAAAGTATCAGTGACTTGCTCTTCTGCCGGCCTTCTCCACCTCTTGTATTGATTTCAGTGCTGGGCAGGCCTCTGCACCAGCAGCTCTGTGCTCACAAGGGCCTTTTGGCCTATAGTCCCTGTAGAAAAAGACAAGTCCCAGAGAGGGCACTGACTGGTTCTGCTGGTGTCGTGTGTCTATGCATAAGAGGGGCCTATCATTCTGTGTAGATGGAGAATTGAGTATTGTGACCAAACAGGTGACATTTGCTTAGGAACTAGGAACCCAAGGAAAGATTACTGGGCATGCCAGTGACCTCTGGAGCATCTTCTGCTGTGGGGGTGGGATGGGATGGGGTGGAGAGGCATTGTGTTTAAGTGTTGGTGTGGCGTAAAGTCTGCAAAACATAAGGCTTGGCTATGAGTATGCTTTTGTATAATCAGCCAATCAACAGATACTTACTGAGCACCTCCTATGAGCGCAGGTACTGTCCTGTAATATCCAGGGAAAATAGTGATGAATGAAATAGGCTCAGGCGCTTAAACTCTATCGGAGAAGCTACGTGCTATTTATGCACAAGGGTGATGAATATTCAGTAGAGAAGTCTTCACTTTCATGGGAATATGAACCTGGAGGTAGGAGTGGAGAGGCACCTAGAGTCAAAGTGGAGCTCAGAAGTGTTGATGGGCCTTTTGATACCCAGGTGTACTGCAGGCCCTCACATCTGTATCTTGTCAGCTTTTCCAGCTGCCAGGCCATGGAGGCTGACTGTGGAAAATGAGCCCTGAAACACAATCAATCAGATCACAAGAATGGGAGGGATGGTCCTGCTAGTTATTTTTAGGAAAATTTAAGACTCTACCTGGGCAGGCTGGTCTGTTTCATAGACTCAGGATGCTTTTCTGACCTCAAGAGACAACATCACAGAAGTCAGTGAGGCAACACTATAGGCCAGATCGCAGGTCAAGACACTGGTAAGTATTTGTACAGGGACCAGTTTTCCTTCATCTGGGACAGAATTTTTAACAGTCTTACATAGATCACTCTTGTGGCAGCAGAATAACACAAGTTCTGTGATAAGTAGTTAGGCATATGAATAAGAGAGAGGAACTCTTCAACCTTTCCACCCAGCTTGGTATTTGTCTCTGGAAGCCTCAAATGATGATCTAAACTTGTGATATCTTAGCATCTTAAACTGGTTAGCCTCAGTGTAGTCCCAGGCACATGCAGTGCATTTTAGCTTTGGGGGCATCCACCCCCACAGCAGCCACCTGCAACTTCCAGCAAACACTGTGACGTTGTAATTCATAAGAATGTGGCCTGACTGTGAACAGTCACAAGTGCGGATACACAATTTTTGGAAAAGGAATACAGGCTATAAAATCGGTAGACTGTTTATTCCCAAATGCAGATAGTATCTTAGAAGGACAAAATCCACTACTTAGGGAAATATACTGAAAGTCTGAACAAATTAGATATGCTTTGGAATGGCTAATCCAAAGTCTTTGTCCCTAGCAGTAGAGACCTAGAATTCAGCTTACTTCACGTCCATCTAAATCCAATTACAATTTTCTACACAGATGGCAGAAATATGACAGAAGATGGTAAAAAAAAAATTCTATCAGTCATTTTTCTTTCTCTGGGCATCACAGTGATTCTATTTTATATTCATTAATTCAAATAGAAGAGTTTTATCCAACCAGAATGTATGTAGGGTAATATTTACTAATAAGCAAGTAGTACCTAAAATTCTTTTCAAGTGTGGTAGTTGAAAAGTAGTTTCTACTCAAGAGCTAGTCATAAAACATATTCTAAATATTTTTAAATATTATTAAATATTTTCTAACCTCTCTTTTTGTTCTCTATTGGCAACAGTTGACTTAGACGCTGTTCCACATGCTAAAGTTCGAGAACGCAGAATGGTAAGCAGCCAGTTCTAATTTTTCTTTTTTCTCTTTGCCATAGGGTGCATGTGCTCACTGGAGATAGACAGGGAAAATGAGAAATCGCTGCCCCTGGGGACGGCCTTGCTGCGATCTCTTCTCCATTCTTCCCTGGGGATTTGGGCCATACCAAAACATATGCCCAGTATGGCTTTTCAAGCTGCTGGGTCTGAGACTCGAACCATGGAGTTGGCCATGTGGGAAGCAGTGACTTAACCTCCATGCCACCTGCTGGCCCATTATTTAAAATTTTTCAAGTTGGATTTTGGGGGATAAAAACTTAAGAATATGATGAGTATTCCCGCTTTTAAATTCTTCAGGAATATTGAGTTAAGAAAGTATTTAAATCAGTGTAGTGAGTAGTTAGAGAAGTGTTAGTATTTGTAAAGAAAACCTATTGTAATAACTAAGAACAAAATTCCAGCACTAGGCTATTCAAGTTACTCTCTTTTTCTAGCTGACTTAGGGCAAGTTTTTAATCTCTCTTTGTCTTACTTTCCTAATCTGTAAAGTGAGGATACCAGTACTTAGCTCTGAGTGGCTATAAGAGTTACTCTCTGTGGGGCCAGCCAGTGGTGTGGTTTAGGCAGCCAGGTTCCGCATGGCTAACTGTGTGGTTTGAGTCCTGGACCTGATGGTTTGACAATCACACTGGGCACATGTATATGTGCCCAAAATCCTGAAAGAAGAGATGGAGAAGGGATTGTGGTGACCATGCCCCAGAGTGGAGTAGGGGGGCATGCTTCTCGCTTTCTCTACCTTTCTCCAGTGAATATATGTGCCCTCTGGTGAAAAAAAATAAATTGAAAGACACTTAGAAATAGACCTGGCATATAATAACTTCTGTGTAAATGTTTACTTGATAAATATTTTTTTATTTATATTTAGAGAGGTTTTTGCTATAGGGTGAGCGCACTTGCCAGAGAGAGAAAGAGAGAGACAGAAAGTGAGAAATCACCCCCTGGGGGGATGGCCATGCCACAATCCCTTCTTTTCTCAGGATCTTGGGCACGCACACACATGCGTCCAGCATACGTTTAAGCCACCAGGTCTGGGACTCGAACCATGGTTGTCTACGTGGGAGTTCAGTGACATAGCCATTACGCCAACTGCCGATTCCACTTGATAAATAATACTAGCTCAAAGGTGGCTGTGGGGTTTTGAGATAATTTATTAAAAGCCCAAAATAGGACTTGGCCCCATAGTGAGCGCAGTGACGTGTTTGCTGTCATTGATGTTAGCACTAGTGGAAGTAGAATTGATCATGTAGGTAACAGTGAGGCCTAAAGGAAATAAGCAAGGTCAGGGGTCATAAGTGGTAACTCACTCACTCTGAGGAGGTGACATTTGTGAAAGACTGAAAAGCAGAAGGGGTGAGCCATCTTTATTAAATATTTATTAGGTGCTTTGTATGCACCAGAAACAGGAGTAAACAAAACGTACAAAACTCCTGGCCCTCTGAGGGCCTACATTTTCAATGAGGGAGAGGCGGCAAGCAAACCTATAGTTAACCTGTAGTAGGTTAAATGGTGCTGTGGGAACATGATAGAGAAAGAAGGGTAAGGGTGGGGGGCTACAGTTTGAAATGCAGTGGGCATGGGCCATCACTGAGTAGGCAACATTTGAATAAAGGGCACCAGGGAGTGGCCATGGGAGATACCGAGGGAACATCTGGGGAAGATTCAGGCAGAGCCTCTGGCAGGAGTCGGCTGATACATGCTAGGAGGAGTGACATGCTGAGGGGGAGGCCCCCAAACAAAGGTGAGTAGGGGCAAATGGAGCAGAGGCAACAGGCGAGACTGACGAGACACTTGCCATCTTTGAGGGGAGGAGTGACAGGATCTTTTTCATGTTTTCACTCACTCCCTGCCGTGCATGGAGAATACACCGGGAGGAACGGGAGACTGTTGCAGTAATCTAGGCTAGAGCTAAGCTGACTTAGACCCAGCGAGAGCAGCAGAAGTGGTCAGAGGTGGATTTATTTCAAGGGAGAGCCAAGAGCATTTTCAGTATATTGAGGTAGAATATGAGAGAAGTCCAAGGTGGACTTCCTGGCTGTTCACAGGCATTGCTGTTGACGGAAGTGAACTTCAGTTTAGACGAGATGGAAATGCCTATCAGGCAGTTCTCCACTGGCAAGTATACACGAGGGAGCAGGGGGAGAAAACAAAGGGTGGAAATACAATTGGATCTTCGTAGCACCTTTAGGATACAGGTAGTACTTCTGTTGACGCAAGTGAAGCAGGAGAAAGTGTGGTGTCAGGGAGCAGGCTGGGAACTTCAGTTTAGACGAGATGGAAATGCCTATCAGGCAGTTCTCCACTGGCAAGTATACACGAGGGAGCAGGGGGAGAAAACAAAGGGTGGAAATACAATTGGATCTTCGTAGCACCTTTAGGATACAGGTAGTACTTTCCCCATTTTGAAATTATGAAAGTAAGGATCAGCTAGACTCTTACTTGCCCAGGGTTTCAAATTAGTAGTTGTTGGTGCATAGTTTTGATGAGACCAGGATGTTGGTAATGTCTGCCATTTATTGACCACACTCTGCCTGTGTGGGATGCTTGACATTTATTTGTTCTAAATTTCACAGCAAGGTACGCTCAATCCTCTTTTGCATAAGAGAAAACTGATACTTAACGGCTTATTAACTTGCTAGGGTCAGCCAACCAATAAACTGGTTGTAGCCAGGCCTGACCCCTGAGCTCCTATGTGTCCCCAGACCACGTGGTCAGACACGTCTTGACACTTAATTGGGAAGACTTTGCAAGTTACCAGATCTCTCCATATGTAGCTTTAATATTTCATGGTGAAGACACTAAAATTCGGTATGTAGGAGTTTTTGGTTAAAATCCTGGGTTAATTACAGCAGGTTTTGCATAGTAGAATGTCAGTATAAGCCAAGTTTATTATGGATTTTATAAAAAAGTGAATCAATCTTGGGCTTCTGATCTTCCTGACACCTGGCTTAGGTGGAATTTAGTCACTCTTGCAGTCATGCCACAAACGTCGTTGCAGAGGTTGGCAATATGTGTGAGGGCTAAGAAGAGCTGGCTCAGAGCCATGATGATTTTTTTCCATTATTGCTAGAAAGAAGAGATTCAATGGCTAGTAATTTAAAAAGATTAAATTGGGGGAGGGGAGAACCACAGGTAATTTGGTGGTTAAGGCGCTGCACTCCCACATGGCCAACTGTGGTCTGAGTCCCAGATGTGGTTGCTTGAAAACCACACTAGCACGTGAGCACATGTGCCCAAAATTCCAGGAGGAGAAAGGGGAGGCGAAGGGATCGTGGAGTGGCTGTCCTTGTTGGGGGCGATTTCTCACTTTCCCTCTCACTGTATCTCTGATGAGTGCATGTGTCAGCATGATTTTAGCCAACATGGCAAAAATCTTAAAAATGAAGAATCTTTAAATCAGAGGCTAGCAGGTAGCATGGTGGTTAAAGGACCAGACTCCCACATAGCTGACCGCTGTTAGAGTCCTGGACCTGTTTGGCTTGAAGATCACACTCGATGTGTGTGTGCATGTGCCCAAGATCCCAGCAAAAGAATGGAGGAGGGGAGATTTCCGTGTGGCTATCTTCCCTCAAAGGGTTAGTCAGCACTTTCCCTTTCTCTGTCTCTCTCCAGGGAGTGTACATGTGCCCTATAGCAAAAACCTAAAAACAAATAAACAGATTAAATTCAGTATATTTTATAGGAAAATTTGGTTTGGTGTAAAAGAACTGTTTGATAATGAAGGCTGTGTATCGGTGGGATTTGTCGCCTTTAAAATGAATGCACTTGAGCCAGCAGATGGCATAGCAGTTATATCACTGGACTGTACATGGTTGACCATGGTTCGAGTCCTGCATTGGGTGGCTTGAAAAATCATGCCAGTGCATGTGCACCCAAGAGCCCAGGAGAATGGAGAAGGGATTGTGGCATGGCCATTCATCCCCCCAGGGGGTGATTTCTCATTTTCCCTCTCACTGTCTCTGTCTTTCTCTGACAAGTGCATGCACCCAGGACAAAAACCTTTTAAGAAAAAACAAAATTTTAATGGACTCTTCACTGAAGTGTTCTAGAAAAGCCCATAAATCTAGTGGCGAACTGCAGGGCGCATTATTGGGTGACTTTAGGTCCTCTGACAAACAAGGTGATGCTATACTGTAAGATTCTCTATATGTAAATTTTTCACCTCTCATTTGATAACCCATGAAAAAGCCCAACTGCAGCGTATTTCTTCCTACTCTATAGCCACTATATATCTACTATATATGTGTGCTAGATCATCATGACAGACGTCTTGTCTCTTTGCCATGGAACTGTGATCTACTCCAGAGCAGAAACTCTTAATGCATCTTTGTATTTCTAGTTTCTAGATGGGGGACATACTGAATCTCAGAAGTGGTTTAAGAACTTTCCATGCTCGGTTGGGATCATTCCTTTATGAGCAGTATATAATATGATCCAACCACAAGGGGGCAGGAAGGAGTAGAGTTGGTGAATAAATGTCCTCACTTGCCAGACTCTAGGCAGGAGGAAGCAAGTCCTGCTGCTGCCCTCACTGTCTGGTAGGAGCTACGCCTCTCCAGTATTTCCTGGGCACTGGAATGTGGTACAGGCGGGAAGTAGTCAGCCCTGCTTTTCCCCATCTTCTTTTTTATAGGGGGGGACAGTACAGAAACTTGTGCCTCTTAGTACAGATTTGTTGTTTTCCACATTAGACTAATAAAAAAGTAATCATGAAGATACGGTGTTTCTTTTAGCTCAGAGATGAAACCAATGATTTCTTGAAAAACTCATTGCTGGAATCTGATAGTGCTTTTATTGGTAAGTGTATTTATTTTAATTTACTGTTGCTATATTATTTAACATTAAACAGTATTTATGAAGAGGGTCTTCAAAAAGTTTGTGGGAAATACATATTATGAGAAAATTATGCATGAATTTCAAAATTGTTTGCACTAAAATAAATTTCATTTTTCCACAGACCTTGTTGAAGATTTGCCCTTCTCCATATTCATAAAACCAGTACTATACTTTTTGTTGTGCAAAGTGGTAGAAAATATTCTGTTTCTGAATTACTAAAATTTTCAAAAGGTCTAAGAATAGTTCATACAAAAACTTGTACATTAATGTCCATGATGACTTTAAGAGCCAGAAACAAAATCAGCCCAGATGTCCTTTAGCAGGTGAATGGTTAAAGGAACTCTGTTACCTCTTGGAATTACTTAGCAGTAAGAAGGGACGTGCAACAACTTGGATGGCTGTTAAGGGAAATATGGTGAGCAAAGAGAAAAAAATAAAGCCAACCTCAATAAGTTGCAAACCGTGTAATTCCACTTATATAACATTTTTCAAATGATGAAATTGAGAAACTGAAACCAGACTAGTAGTTGACCAGGGTTAGGGCCAGGGACTGAGAGGGAGGGAGAAGTATATGTAGTTATCAAAGAGAAACATGGTTCTGAGACTGTATCCACGCCCATAACCCAAGCCTACAAAGATGTAAACAGTCAATAAAACAATATAGAACTTACTACACACACACATACACACACACACACGAGTACAAGTAAACTGGGAAACTTGATTAAGATTGGTGGGTTGCATCAGTATCTATATCCTAGTTGAGGGATTGCAGTTTTGCAAAATGTTACCATTGGAAATTGAGCAAAGTGTAGGAGAGATCTCTAATATTTCTTAAAACTGTGTGTGAATTTACAGTTATCTTAAAAATATTTCTATTAGAAAAGTTATAGGCATATTTAGTCTTAGAAGATATGCAAAGGTGTCATGGGATCTTTTAATAATATATCTTTGTATTTATGATCAGTCTCTGATCGTAGCACTTCTGCTATCTTAGGACCATCAGCGGCATTATCTCTTACACATATTAGTTGCATTCCATGCCAATTGCTATAGATTTTCATATGACAGAAATTTCAAATTAAGTTATATTTCTGTCTTAGTATTTTTTAATGAGTTTTTTCTTCCCAAGGAAGTTGCCCTGGAGAGAGTGAGAAAAGACAAGAAACAGAGAGCTTGCCCATGGAGGCATCAGGGAAGTGTGACCTGTTTTACCTAGCGATGATCACAGTCTGGGCCACTCAGGGTCTTGGATATTTCATGAAATTACATAAGCCAGAGATAAAGCAGTCTGGTTAACGATGGCACTACAGATGTCCCATCATTATGTGGGTGTTACTGCTGCTCTAATGAATGTAATGCTGGTGGTTTCAAATGTATTTTTATTTTAAATAAGTTTTTACAATTATTAAATACTAAAATGTAAAATTTATGACCTTAACTATTTTAAAGTGTATACTTGAATGTTAGTAAGGACATTTGCATTATTACTGTGAAGCCATTATCACTATCCATCTCCAGAACTCTTTATCTTTATATAAAACAATAATTCCCTACCCCGATTCCGCTAGCCTTTAATGACCACCATTCTACTTTTCAAGGTGATTACTCTGGGACCTAATGTAAATGGAATCATTCAGTATTTGCCCTTTTATGACTGGATTATTTCACTTAACACGTCTTCAAGGTTCACTCATGTTGTAGCGTGTGTTAGATTCCATCCTCTCTCTTTTTAAGGCTGAATAATATTCCATTGTATGTTTGTAACATATTTTGTTCATCATCTGTTGATACACACATCGCTTCTTTCCACCTTTTGGCTATTGTGAATAACATTCTGTGAACATGCGTGCATGAATATCTACTAGAATCATTGCTTTCGGGAACACCAGATGGCTTAATGGTTATGTCGCTGGACTCTCATGTAGTCGACTATGGTTTGAATCCTGGACCCGGAGGCTTAAACTCATGTCGGGAGCATGAGCATGCATGCTCGAGATTCCAAGAAGAGAATGGAGGAGAAGGGATTGTGGTGTGGCCATCCCCCCCGCCCCCCGGGTTGATTTCTCACTATCTGTCTCTCTTATCTCTCTGGTGAGTGTCCCCACCCTGTGGGCACACCCCCCCCCCCCCCCGCCAAAAAAAAAAGCACTGGTTTTCATTCTTTTGCATATCAGTGGAATTGCTGTTTCATATGGTATTTCTTTTTTTTTGTTTGAAGAATCGCCATCCTCTTTTCTAAAGCAGCTACATCAGTTTATAAGCACTGCACAAGAATTCTAATTTTTCTACATCCTTGCCAACACTTGTTTTTTTTTAGTAATAGCCATCCTTATGGTGTGAGGTGATGTCTCATTATGGTTTTCACTTGCATCTTCATAATGATTAGTGATGTTGAACATCTTTTCTTGTGCCATATGTATATCACCTTTGAAGAAATACCTGTTCAAATCCTTTGCCAGTTTTTACTCAGGTTTTTTTGTTGAGTTGTAGGAGTTCTTTATTATATATTCTGAGTATCAACTCTTTATCAGATACATGATTTGCAAATGTTTTCTGCATAGTAGGTTGCATTTTTCACTCTTTTGAATTGTGTCATTTGATGTACATAAGTTTTTTATTTTGATGTAGTTAAATTTATGATGTCTCCTATTGCCTGTGCTTTGGTGTCATATCCAAGAAATCATCACTAACTGTACTGTCATCATGAAGCCTTGTCTTATGTTCTCAACATTGCATGGCGGTGCATTACTGCCACACCGTTACAGCTGGCCAAGTACAATCACTCTTTTTTTCTTTTTCTTTTTCCTTTTTTTTTGAGAGAGAGCTTTGCTATAGGGCGTGTTTGTTCACCGAAGAGACAGAGAGAGACAGAAAGTGATAAATCACCACCCCCCCAGCTGGGGGGATGGCCACAGTATAATCCCTTCTCTTCGATTTTTGGGCTGGCAAGCACATGTGCCCAGCATGAGTTTAAGCCGCCAGGTCTGGGATTCAAACCGAGGTCAACTTCATGGGAGTCCAGCGATGTAACCATTACTCCATCTGCAGGTCCCCAACCACTCTTAAAAAGTTTGATAGTTCCTCAAAATTCTGGACAGTTATCACAGTATACAGCAATTTCATTCGTAGGTATATACCCTAAAGAAATGAAAACATGTATCCATACACAGATGTGTAAAACAGGAATGTTCACAGTAGTAGTATTCATAATCACCAACAACTAGTGAATGTTGGCCAGTGGTGGATGCATGGACAAAATGTCATGAATCCATATGATAGAGTATGACATAGCAATAAAGTGGAATGAACTAATGATACATGGTACAATCTCCTGGAACCTCAACACATGATGCTACATGAAAGACACAAAATTACGTTAGAGCTAGGTAAATCCAGGTAAATCCATTGAGGCAGAGTAGACCAGCGTTTGCCTAAGTCTGGGCAGGTGGGTGCGGGGAGTGATGGCCAGTGGGCATGAGGAAGCCGTTGGAGGTGATGGAAATGTCCTGGATTGTACTAATGAATGCAGAACTCTGGAAATTTACTAGAAGTAATTGAACTACTCTTACAGTGGGTGAATTGCATGGTGGTTTACTATCTAATAAAGTACGTAAAAACAGGTTCTTGGTTTAGTTCTGGGCAAAAGAATTGAAACGGTGTAAGTTTAAGACTTTTCCCCTGTGTGGCTCTTTTAGGTGCTTATGGTGAGACATATCCTGCCATCGAAGATGATGCTGTTCTTCCACCATCACAGCTGCCTTCTGCAAGGGAGCGCAGGAGGAACAAATTGAAAGGAAAGGACATGGTATGTATAAAATACCTTTTTCTTTTTTCCATGGATAGCATGAATATCCAATTAGATAATGGGAACATTTAGCCCTGAGCCAAGTATGCAGGGCACTCTCAACAAATGATGGTAGATGCTGCTGTTCCTAACATTATTACATCTACAGTTTTAGTGGCAGTAACTTCGTGCCCTAGGCAATCACTAATATACTTCAGCCCGTATACGTGTCTTTTCTGGACATTTCATATAAATGAGTACCTAAAATCAATGGTCATTTGTGACTGTTTTTTGTTGTTGTTTTTTTTTTGTTTTTTTTTTCCAAATGTTGTCATGTTGTAGCATGTTAGTACTTGATTCCTTATTGTTTAATATTTCATTGTACATTTTATCTGTTCAACCCAGCTGATAGACATTGGGTTGTTTTTACCATAACAGCTTATTATAAATACACTATTAACATTCGTGTGTGTGTGTGTATGTATATATTTTTTTAATTAAAAAAAAAATTTAATAGTTTGTGATTGGGCACCTGTGCTCACTGGAGAGCAAAGGAAGGTAAAGAGAGAAAGCAATCCCCCAGCCCCTCAAGGGAGATGGCTACCCTACTGTCCCTTTTCCTTCATTCTTGAGATTTGGTGCACATATGTACACATGCTTGCTGTGTTTTTCAAGTTGCCAGGTAACCATGCAGTCAGTCAGCCATGTGGGATTCAGCTACCTTAACCACTGTGCTGCCCTGCTGGCCCCATGTGCAGGTTTTTGATATGTTCATTTCTCTCAAGTTTCTGCTAGTAGAACTGTTGAGTTATATGGTCACTCTTTGGTGTTATATTTAGCATTCTGAGGAGCTGCCACTGTTTTACAAAGCAACCACACCATTTTACATCCCTACCAGCAATGTATGAACATCCTGGCCAATACTTATCGTCTGTCCTTTTGATTATAGCCACTACTGAGTCTGAAGTGCCATTGTGGTTTCCAATTGTATTTTCCCCCGACGATGTTGAACATATTTTCACTTACTTATTAAGCAGAAATATGTTTTTTTTGGAGGAGAACACCTTAACCACCATGCTACCTGCTGGCCCCATAAGAGTTCTTTATACATTCTGGCTACAAAGTTTCATATCAGATATATGATTTGTAAACGTTTTTTCCAGTTCTGTAGATCACTTTTTTGATAGTATCCTTTGAAGAATAAAGGTTTAAAAAATTTTGATGTAGTTTAATCTTATCACTTAGGTGTCTTGGTGTCTTATCTCAAGAATTCACCGCCTAATTCAGCATCAAGAAGATTAACTTGTTTTTGTTTAGGGCCTCCCCCCTCCCTTTATTTATTTATTTTTTTGCCATAGGACACGTGTGCTTGCTGGACACAGAGAGAGTGAAAGTGAGAGATCACCCTCTCAGGAGGGATGGCCATACTGCAATCACTTCTTTTCTATTCTCCTCTCAGGAGGATGGGCATACATGCACATGTGCTTAGTATGAGTTTCAAGCTGTTGGGTCTAGGACTCGAAACGTAGTTGGCCACGTGGAAGTCCAGCGGCTTCACCACACCACCTGCTGGTCCCCATTTAGTTTTTGCTTATAGTATTAGACATCAATGTTAGCTCCAATTTTAGTTCTTGTCCATTTGTGTACTGTAATCCCTAAGCTTCATGATTTATGTCATCACAAATAATGACTTAGGAGTCAGAATATAAATGCCCCATAATTTCATCACAATGTACATTTATTATGAGTAAGACCATGTTGATTCACTGATTTATTCTAAATTTATTTTATATTAATGACCATTTCTGAAGTTCTGTTTTCTAATTATAGGATAACAGCCGTCCTAATGTGCCACCAGATGGTCTCTCTTTAAAATCCGTATCCAGTGTAAACATTGATCAAGTTAGGATGAAAAATGAAGAACGAATGCGAAGACTGAATGAACTTCACAATAAACCAGTTAATACAGGTAAATGTCTAAATTTAATGGCCTATATTAAGTCTCGTAAAAACTCTTTAAGCTTGCTTATGTGGAAGTTTTTTCACTCATGGTTCAAGGGTAGGTGGAATAAGTTTTGAAATCCTTTGAATTATATGTTCTAGGAACCAGTAACCAGCAAAATCAAACATCAGGATTAATTTTCCATTAGATTCTGTGTACCAGAGGGTTCCTATTTTAGAGTGGATTCTAAACAGAGTAGTTTTTTGCTTATAAAACACATCCAGGCTTTGCTTTCAGAAGGGAAAAGTGCTTATTAATAAGGTGCAGTAGTCCCTTACTGAAGTGAGAGATTATCAGAAATAAATGTTAAGACTGAGTTCTTGGGACCAGCAGTTGGCGTAATGGCTGTGTCGCTGGACTCCTATGTAGTGGACCACAGTTTGAGTCCCAGACCTGGTGACTTAAGTTCATGCTGGGCATGTGTGTGTGGGCACTCAAGATCCAGAGAGGAGAGTGGAGGAGAAGGGATTGCAGCATGGCCATCCTCCCCATCTGGGGGGGTGATTTTTTGCTTTCTGTATGTCTCCCTTTCTGATGAGCACATACATGCACCCTATAGCAAAAACCTCAGAAATTTGTAGTACTATAAAGAAAATGTTTAACTTTTTACTTGGCTTCCTCAAGTATGATGGGCAAAGCAAAACAGCCTCAGGTTAGTATTTTCTTTTCCTAAGTCAGAAAAGCTCATCTTGTTATGAGCAGCCTTTGGTGACTTGCAGGCTAAAGCTTACCATGGATCCAGCACTTGAGGCCAGGACAGTAGCTCAGGCCGATTAATGAGGTCCTCCTCCAGTCCTTTCCCATCCTTTCTCTTTGATGCTGTTGTCACTGGGCTAAGTATTACTGATAGCTGTAGCATTGTTTGGCTTAGGAAATGCAGTGTAGTTTATTGGACAATACTCCTTAGTCTTTTAAACTACATTATATATTTTTAAAGATTTTGTTAATAAGGGTGTGTGTGCCCACCAGAGAGACAAAGTGAGAAACCACCCCGGAAGGATGGCCACACAGCAATCCCTTTGTCTCCATTTACCTCTTGGGATCTTAGGCACATGCACACATGCCTGACGTGTTTTACAAGTCACTGGTTCTGGGACTTGAACTGCAGTTGGATATGTGGGATCCAGCTCCACAATCACCATGCTGCCTGATGGCCCTACAATAGTTTTCTAATAGCAATATTTGTAAAATTATTTTTTGATCAGTTTTTTTTTTTTTTTTGAGAGGTTTTTTTTTTTTCACTATAGGGCGCGTGCGCTCGCCAGACAGACAGAGACATAGAGACAGAAAGTGAGAAATCACCCCCCAGGGGGGATGGTCACGCCGCAATCCCTTCTCCTCCATTCTCCTCCCGGGATCTTGGGCACGCATGCACATGCGCCCGGCGTGAGTTTTAAGCCACCGGGTCCGGGACGCGAACCGCGGTCGACTACGTGGGAGTCCAGCGACATAGCCATTACGCTAACTGCTGGTTCCCTTTGATCAGTTTTAATACTTTGTTAATTTAAAACAATATTCATAATAATCGGTAGCATTCAAGGTAGGTACTGTTCTGATAGTGATAATTCCACTCCAAACACTATCAGTCAACTGATGGGACAGTACTTATCATACTTGAGAAAATATGGACCCATCAGAAAGGATGTCTTTCTAGCTAAAAGGCATATTCTTTTAATGTGTGCTAAAATCACGTATTTTTTAAATTTCTTTTAGAACCAATAGACCAAATTAATTTTAACAGGTATAGAAAGTATTTTAGGAATCTATTGTTTCAAAAAGTTTTCAATGTCTAAACTTTTTAACACTGTCCTTTCAAACAGGAACTTTCTGGTACGATGAGGATTGATTGCTCACTAAACTGCACATATCTCTTTGCTGGGCTAATTCTTCACAGACCAGGAGATTTTTTTTTTTTTTTAAAGAAATTGACGTCACAGGGTAGGCAGACAGATTTTTTGTATTATTATACCAATAAGTAAAGTATAAATGTAGAAATTAAGTACGGTCACATTCAATTTAAAGAGTGAAACAAATTAAGAGTACTTCTTAATGGACTGGACACAACCATTGTAGATTAGGTTTAAGTATGGAAGTGATTTCATCCCAACTAGTGCTTTCCCAAAATGACTTAAGTTCATTACAACAGTGTTAGAGATTGGGAGTATTCCCCATACCTTGCTAGATTAAAATAATTGAGTAAATGAAAGTTCTGTGTGGTACCTATTGGGTTTCTCCAGAAGATGGCAGTTACAAAATTCCCTACATAGCCGTAGTCAGCATTTAGGAGAACGTCTCCTTCAACACGGAATTTTTTTTTAATAAACTGAGAATCCCTCTGGATGCTAGTACCAGAGTCACCTTACTTGATCATTTTTTGTTTTGCACAAGTGGCCCCCTTACCTGGGCCTGCTCTCCCACCACGAAAATGGGCAGGGGACGCCTAAACTAAGCCATAGTTCAGGACACGCTACTGCAGGGACTTCTAGAGCTGCGATGGGTTGGAGTGTGGGAGACCCGCAGTTGAGTCACCTGCCTGCCACCAGTGTTACCTGAATCCTGTGTCTCCTGCTTCTTGTAGATGATGAGATTTCACTGGTTGACCCTGATGATATCATAAAACACACGGGTGACGATGGATCAAACTCTGTAGCAACTGAGCCTTGGCTCCGCCCTGGCACCTCAGAAACGCTGAAACGTTTCATGGCCGAGCAGCTAAACCAGGAGCAGCAGCAGGTTCCAGGAAAACCAGGCACTTTCACTTGGCAGGGCCTGTCTACTGCACATGGTTAAAATAAACCTGTATTGGACCCAGTAGTGCCTTTTAAGGTGAAAGGAATGTTAAGTCAGTACCTTTTCTAACATGTCCTACCTGAAAGCTCATTACTTATACTCCATCTGTATATATAGTGTATTTTTCCATGATGTATATAATGTATAGTATGTACATAAATAAAAGACCATTACTGATTTATATAATAGAATTGTATAAAATTATTTTTGAAGTTCTGTCATAAACTAGGGTGGTGATGAATAACCTCTTGGATTCAACTACCATATGTGCATTATTTCAATTCATCATTAAGGTGAATTAAACCTAAGTGTCTTAGTACTGTACACCAGAATATCCTTTGTTATGTGCACCCCTGCCATCATTCTCTCTGTTCAGAATGACTCAGTAAGTAAACACTTTTGCTGTAGCTGTGACTACGCCGGTTACTATGTACTGAGGAAGTCAAATGTGCCACTTTCGTGTCATTTGTGGCTGCTGATTCAGCAGAAATGACAGGAGCTGTTGATTTCATTCCTGTGAGCCATGCACTAAATGTTACATCTTTCTGCCTCTATTTTATTTTTGTACCAATGAAGGCACTGTGTTGTTACTAATTTATATGATTTAACTACTACTTAATAGTAATAAATTTTATTTTTATTACCAATGTCAATTTCTTATTTTAGCTGGAGTTAAGGTTTCTAGATTAAGTGGAGTTGAAGACAGGTGGGAAGAACCAGATGTCAAGGATTGAGACTGGAATTTGTACTCCACCACAGTGTACTCCTAAATGTGTAATTCCAGACGTATTCAACTTCTGGAAAATAATTACTTGGATTGACAAAACACTGACAGCCAAGAATGCCCCAAGCCTTGGGCACTGACATTTTAAATGGTAGAGCAGATGAATTGGCCACAACTGTGAAATTTCTCTGCTATTTCAGATTTTGGCTACATGTAAATTTTACTCAATTTTCTAATCTAACCATTCTCTTACTGTTAAAGGAATTTTTCTTCTATAGTTATCTGACATAAGGCAGCCTCTGTTTCCTCCAGGGAGAGTCCTGATACCACACATTAAATAAGAAACCACCAGACTATGGGAAGCACTTATCTTCAGGTTGGTGGTCCCCACCTACCGGGGCAGGTGACTCAGCCAAAGCACCAAGCTGGGATTGAACAGAGCTGTGTCTTAGGGGTGAAAAATATAGTACACACATTCAGTAACTGTTCATTACCTAGGAGGTATGAAAGGCTGAACATGCTCCTGTTTTTTTAACACAACCCTCTTCAATTACACTGGCATGTTTCCCTCCCCTTTAAGGTTTTTATTGTTTTTTTTTTTTGTTTGTTTGTGTTTTTTTTGGCCATAGGGCATCTGTGCTCACCAGAGAGAAAGAAAGGGGAAAAAGAAAGAAATCACCACCACCACCCCACCCCCCACCCCCGGGGCATGGCTATGCTGCAATCCTCTCTTCCATTCTCCTCTAAGGATTTGGGGCATGAACACATACATGCCCAGTATGATTATCAAGCCACCAGGCCTGGGACTCAAACTGTGGTCAGCCATGTCCAGCGACTAAACCATTACGCCACCTGCTGGTCCTGACATGTTCGCTTTTTAATGCCATGCCCTACACAACTTGAACTCCCAGGACACACACTATCACACTGCAACCTGCCCCAGAGGCAACTTCAGCTCTCTCTCAGCTTTCAAATACTAGTCTTATTCTTGGACTATTAATACACAAAATTATGAATATCTTATGGTTAGGAAAGCAAAGTCGGAAAGGCCCTACCTAAAGACAGAAGCTGCAAAGAAAATACTTACTAGAACCAAAGAATACTGAATTTTTAGTTCTGGCCAAAAATATCTTTTCCATAGTTGTTTGGCTTTTAATGAAAAGAATTTTTAAAAAGATCAATGAAACATAGGGCTGTGGGTTACACAGGTGTTGATTGCACTGATGAAATAATTCAAAAACTTTATTGACCTATAACCTGATTAGAATATGCCAGATGAGAATCAATATTGTACAGAAAGTTGTACAGAATTTTTTACATAGAAAACTTTACATCTGTACCATATACATTTTATCCATCTGAAAAATTTTTCTACATCCACTCTTAATACGGAATGCTTTGACAATCTTGTCTTTTTTTAACCATCAGAGCACAATTCACAGTATGAATAAATTTCCAGTAAATCTAACCGCCCAAACCATGCCAGATTTGTTAATTTTAATATATTCAACATTAAATTCTGTACATAGAGTAAAATCTACATCAAGCCCCACCACCCAAAAGAAAAAAAGTGACAGCAACCTAGATTCATTTTGCAGTGATTCAAGTTTCAGTCCATGAAGGATCATTCTGTTTTAATGGCTCATCTTTAAAAGCCCTAAGAGAAGTATATTACAGGTAGTTATTGTCAGTAGGGATATTTTCTACCTTTTTTTACCCTGCTGTTTTCTTGACAAATGCCAGCCTAACAGCTTCTGAGCATGTTACACCCTTCAAATTACCACCCTCCCCAAAAGGGCTAAACTAAAAATCCCCACAAAATAAAAAAGACAAAGTTCAACCCAAATGTTTTAGTGCATTTGACAAAATATTATGGGTATGGGTATTTAGCAAATGGGTAAGAAAATAAAGAAATAAAATAAAACAGTGCAGGAAGAGCTATATAATGTTTTAAGATCTTTATATTACAGACCTGCATCTCTGTACATTTTTCAAAGGATGATTAAAAGTATCTCAGATAGCCTGAGTGTGCAAAAATCTTCAGAATAAGAATACCATAGTTGCTAAATATCTTTTACCATGAACAATAATTTCTTCTCCCAACCCACCCCCCAATTATAAACATTTTATCCTTCAAAATACAGCTCTCCTGAGTTGTACTTCTTGCAGAAGTTCAATCTTTACATCTATAGTTCTTTGGGTAAGTTTCTCTTCCACATCTGCTAAAGATACAGGGCTCTCCCTACTGCAGAGAATGGGGAAGAAGCTGTGAGCATTAGCTGATGTGTGTCCACGGGCTTTCTGCTCAGCCCACGCCCAATATGACACACACACTCCCAGGCTACTACAAGGGACCGGTGTGTTGCAAGTGTGAGTTACAGCTGTGAGCATCTTTACCAGTCACTCTCAGACACTGCAATTCAGAAAAATCATTTTCCAGGTAGGAAAACCTCAGCTCAGGGGTCCTTTTCCAGAGCAGAGGGATGTAAACGCCAACAGAAAAATACCAAGTTCTCATCATTGCTTGTTTATTCCAAGTTCCTGTTCAGGTGGTTGTGAGATCTGAAAAACTACTCCAATTCGCAGGAAAAATCTTCTAAGGACAGCACGAAGTTCAGGAATCAAGTCAAATTGCATAATTTCACATAAAAGAGGGTAGTAGAATGACGCATGAGCTTTAAACTGGAGGGAAGATGAATTTCTCCATTAGTAGTGCACACACGCAGCGCACAGAGCCTAACTGCCTAGAGTCGAACCACTCGGAAAAGTGCTGGTCACAGAAGGCAAGGACAGAGCCTGCCTTAAGTAGTCGGTGTGGGAATCACAGGACTAAGTGATGGAGAAGGATTCAAAAGACTCAGCACAAACATCAGTCTATTATCTAGTCCAATTTTGAAAAGCACTTTTCATTACCTTTTTTGGATAAACTTAGTAATTTGGCATTTTCCTGGTTAAAAGCAAAACAAAGGTAAGCAGGAACGAGGAACTAGAATTGAGTTTGTATAGGATATGGCTTATTGTATGTTTTGTTAAAATTTTTTTTAAGCTTCAGAGAAAATCCTACCTAACATTGTAATACAGATTACATAAACATTCTCCAGGCAGAGCTACCTACATTCCACATTCATAGTTTATACACCTCACTGGATCTCTGCCGATTCTCGGACCTTGCGACACTAGTCGCCTGCTGTTCTCTCCCATTCCCAGCCCTGCACGCCCCACCAGATACAGGAAGCTGTGGGGTACACTGGAAAGCTGCAGATTAAGACAGGTGTGGAGTCCTTCCTGCCCACATGGCTGCTGCTGGCCTTGGATGACTTCTCCAAACTTCACCCAGCCCATAGGTCAAGTGGAAACACATATGGACACACAGCAGATGGACACCAGCCCAGCGCCGAGTTGCGCGGCCCTGGCACCACCCTGCTTCTGTCTATGGGGGCCTAAGGTGTAAAGTATCAGGCTCTCTCATTAGGCATTTTTAAACCTATTCAGAGATCACAGCAACTGCTATTTCCTTATATAAGGAGACCTAAAAGGTCATGGGAAATGGAATGAAAGTTCAAGTTTATTTTGATGAAAAAACTTTTTCAAATCCAGGCATAGTTTTCATAATACACATTTTCTTAGAACTTTATGAACAGCCCTTGTATGTGAGCTGTATATTGTTTTATATTTTTAAGACTGTATTTTGAAAACCTTAAATGTGCATTGATATATTTGTATTTTATCTTTATTTCTACTGGTGTAAAACTCTTAAATGACCTTTTCTAGGGTCTGAGCCACATGGAACCTGTCAACAAGCCACAGGAATGGCTACAGCTTGAGCCTAGGACCAGGGACTGGGTGTAACCTAGGTTAGGGGGTACAGGGAAGGCTATGGGGTAGAGTGGATAGAGATGAGCAAAACAGGGATAAAGGGAGACTCCAGGGGTTAGAATAGGCATTTCACTGTTGGGCGGACCCAGGCTCTAGCCTGTGTTCTAAGGGCTTCTGACCCCGCTCCCTACTGAATCCCCTGTGGGACTGCTGACTAGAGAACGAAGCTGGGTAGGGGAGGGAGAAACAGGCCACATGTGCTCCTGCCCCAGCAGCAGTGTGGCCTGGCCTCCCACCTGACCTGCTCCTGAGGCTCCTGGGCAGCAGGGCTAAGACCCGGTGTCCCTACCTCAGACTCAGTCACAACACTGGTCAGTCTACACATGTGAGGCTCTAAATGAAGCTTCATACTTACCCTATTATCACTTATCTTTAAAACTTTAGTTAGAAACAAAAGCAGTAAGTTAGTCCAGGCTTCCCGATGACTTTCTGATGTGAGAGTAAGGAAGTAACTTAGTGCTTCACTGCAGACGCTGTAAGAGAAAAGGTTCACTTTTTGTTACTTGCATACTTGCTGGGCCATATCGTCACTGAGAAAGAACTACTAAGACAAGCAGGTGGTGGATATTAACTATTAAAGAACTTGCTAGCTCTTACGGCTTACATTAATTAGAGTCTCAGCGTAAAAATATTTTTATATTTGGAAAGAAATGTATTAAAAGAAGCCACTGTGACTTACTAGGAAACCCACACTTTAATTTTCT